TTCACTGAAACTTCCTAAGACCCCTGTGAAATGGGCACTAATATTGTGTTTATTTTAAGGTGGAGAATTTGAGATGCAGGAAGTTGAAGCAACTCGTGCTGATCCACATGGCCAGTTGGTGGTGAGGCAGCACCTGAAACCAGGATGTCTGTGTCCAGGGCCTAAACAAGGCTAGTGACCAGTAAAGACCAGTGCATCGTTAATATCTAAGAGAGGAAGAATCTGCCCGCTCCCCCACACCCTCCACAGTGAGGGTTGTGCAGGGGACACAAGGAAGTGATGTCAAATCACAGAGCTGCTCACAGCGGCCACGTCGGGCTGGCTGGGCCCTTAACTATCCCCCAAGTTTTCAGTGCCTCTTAGAAGTGCCTGACTTGGGCACTATTGCCCCTTTGAGAAGACTCCTGAGTTTGCTCATTCTTCCTGGGATGGGAGAAGTAGTGGTTTTGGAAGCTACAGATGGGGCGGCAGATGGAAAATGAAAACCTATCAGCATTGCCCAGGATGAAACCATTCATCTGCAAAATTCATATGTTTTTGTGTAGGGCAACTTCATGAAAACAACAGCAAGAGGAACCAGCAGTGCTTGATGCATAAAGTGCCTCTGGCTATGAGGCTGGCAAAGAAGAGTGGGCAAAGGAATTCGTGGGAGGCACCACGGAAATGAGATCAGTGAAGCAGAGGAAGAGGATGAGAAAGGCCAAGAGATACAGAGTGACCTGGGGCACTAAAGCAAAAAAAGCCACAAATAAGACAACTCTCTTCTCTGAACCCCAAAATAGGTTGCACGCATGGCCTGAGAAATGATTTCTGGACCTCTCAGAGATACAAGATGAGACCTTGGATATAGCTTACGTATAAATGGCTGACATTCACTAAGCACCTTCCAAGTGTCCAACAGGCTGCTAGGTTCTATTATTATATCCCAATTTCACAGAAATTGGATTTACTTGCCTGAGGTTACGCTGCTAGCTAAGTGGCAGAACTTGGATTCGAGCATTAAGCACTTTGACAAGAGTGCAGGCACTCAGCCTCCTGGGTGCTGAGCGGAGCTGGATGCTTTAAGGGAAGTGGCCACGCAAAGCAAGCCAACAGTGGCCTCCAGGGGGCAGCAACGCGCATGCCTACCTGGCCTCAAGAGGTCTCTGGCTCAACGCAGGCCCCCAACCTAGCCTGGCATGACCTCTGAGGCCTCCAATGGGAATCCAGAGAAGGAAGAATGTGGGAACTTTGAGCATAGCCCCTACCACTCAGGAACAGACAACGGGGGTCCTCCTAGGACCATCCTGGACATCCCTGCTGCAAGGCAGTCTAACCACTATCCTGCCCAGCCACAAGCTCACGGGATGGGACTGTTTCCTTCTGTGCTTTCAAGGTGGCCCGGAGCCATTCTGACAGTCCAGTTCTGCTGAGTTCCCTAAGAGGCCGACTTCAAGCCAGAAAGAATACCAACTTTGCAACCAGACGAAACTGATTCTAATCCCCGCTCTGCCATGCATTCATCACATGACATGGGGCCTTAGTTTGTCCCTCTGTAAAACAGGTTTGTTGTAAGGGTTGAAGCAAGTGTTTGCCACACTTGCTGCCATGCTCAGCATTTTGGGACATTTCCAAACTCATTCCTTTCATGAAAGATGGAGAAGGAATGTTCTAACCCCTCCTTGCCATGTACTTGTCTAAACTCATTTCTCCTCATTCTTTTATTATACTCTATCCATTGTTTAAATTTCTCAAATGCAACAAGTTTGTTTCTGTGCTACATTGTGCCCAGGCTGTTCCCTATATAAGAAATGGTGGTTCTCAAGTGGAGGCAATTTTAGCTCCTAGAGGTCATGTGAAAATGTCTGGAGACATCTGTGGTTGGCACAAGTGGGCAGGGTGTGCCCCTGGCATCTGGTAGGCAGAGGCCAGAGATGCTGCTACGCATCCTACAAAGCACAGGACGGCACCCATAGCAAAGAATTATCCATCCCCAAACATTAGCAGTGCCACTGCTACGAATCCCAGTCTAGAAGGATCTCTTTCTCATTTCCTTCCCAGTGGATCCCTCTTGTCCTCTAGGTCTTGGTTCAAAGCTGAGCATTCAGAGGCCTTTCTGACCTCCTGATTATGGCCCTTGAGTTTTTCCCCACTCCCACATCTTCTTTCTTTTTTTTTTTTTTTTTTTTTCTGTTTTTTGAGACGGAGTCTTGCTGTGTTGCCAGGTTGGAGTACAGTGGCACGATCTTGACTCACTGCAACCTCCGCCTCCGGGGTTCAAGTGATTCTCCTGCCCCAGCCTCCTGAGTAGGTGGGATTACAGGCATGAACCACCGAGATCAGCTCATTTTTGTATTTTTTAGTAGAGACGGGGTTTCACCATCTTGGCCAGGCTGGTCTTGAACTCCTGACCTTCTGATCCACCCCCCTTGGCCTCCCAAAGTGCTGGGATTACAGGCATGACCCACCGTACCCAGCCCACATCTTCCTTTCTTTATGGCTTGTTCACACCTTGCTTGATGTGTCTTTGGCATGATCATCTAACCCCATCTTCTCAGCTAGGATACACATTCCATGAGCAGGGTAGAAGTACAGGAAGCTGCATTGCTTTTGCTCACAAAATGTACTACTTAGCACGCAGCACGGTAGTTGCTCAGTAAATGTTTGTTGAACAAATGAACACAATTGTGGTAAGTACAACTCTACCAGTAATGTTCTGTAACCATTCCCATCTATCCCTCTGTCCTATGGACAAAGGAAAACAGTTATCTTTCTAGTGCCCATCATTTTTCTCAGGTTCACGGGTGTCAGGTGTACCCCATTCAAACTGACCAGAGAGTGTGCCTCCCCAGCACCTTCTACAGTCTAGGGTCTCCCAGCAGATGTTGGGGGGATGCCCCCAAGCCCAGGACTGAAGAAGACCCCCAATGACCATGCTGTGAAGAAGAAAGAAGCTGCTTGTAGCTTTAAAGAGATGACTTCCTTCCACGCTTGTACCTTTTTTGGGTTCTGATTCAAAATTCAAACTCTTGAGAATACGTGACCTAGATATTTGATGCCATTAAAACCTGCCTGCTAATATTTTAGGCATAAGCATCATTGTGATGCTGTCTTAAAAAAGAGATCTTATCTTTTCTAGATATATACTGAAAATTTAGAGATACAATTATATGATATCTTATATTTCTTTCAAAATAATCCACTGTTGGGGGAAGAGGATGAAAGTCCAGACACAAGAAAAATGGCCATGAATTAACCTGGGCGACATCTATGTGGGAGTGCATTACACTATTCTTGGTACTCTTGTGCGTGTTTGAAAGTTGCCTTAATAAAAGTTTTATTTTTTTTAGGGCTCCTTCATCTAGATCTCCTGGGAATGCTGTACCCTACGGCCTTGTGCCATTAGAGGGAGGAAGATCCCCCTCTTCACTTCCATACACTTTCCTTTTCACACTTGTCAGCGAATCCAGATGGAAAACACAGTCAAAGGAAAAAACTGCCCTCCTGAGAGAAAATATCAGCCTGGCACAATGGCTCACACCTATAATCCCAGCACTTTGGGAGGCCAAGACAGGCACATCACCTGAGGCCAGGAGTTTGACACCAGCCTGGCCAACATGGTGAAACACCAGCTCTATTAAAAATACAAAAATTAGCCAGGTGTGTTAGTGAGTCCCTGTAGCCCCAGTTACTTGGGAGGCTGAGGTAGGAGAATCACTTGAACCTGGTGGGTGGAGGCTGCAGTGAGCTGAGATCACACGACTGCACTCCAGCCTGGGTGACAGAGCGAGACTCTGGCTCATATATAGATACACACACATACATACATACATACATTGTTCATAACATCATTCAAAGTATCATGCCGGTGGCTTCCATCTTGCTTGGACTAACAGCCAAATTCTAGGATCACCACCATCCGGCCTCAAATTACTCTCTGACTTTATATCTCTTGTTACACTACCCCTCACTTACTCTGTTACAGCTCCACTGAGGCCGGATGTTCCTCGCACAAGCCAGGCCTGGACCCAGCTCTGGGCTCAGCCCCTGCCTTTCCTCCTGCCTGGACCACTTTCTCTGTAGGTGTGACTCTCTTCTTCATCTTCTTCTGTTCTTATCTGTGAAAACTTTCCAGGTCACCATTGGTAAAATTACAATTCTCCCCTACTTTCGCCCTTTGCTTTATTTTTCTAAGACATCATTTAACTCATTTTGTTGTATGTCTCCCTACTTGAATGGAAGCTTGTGAAGGTTACTATGGAGTGTCAACTTGATGGACTGAAGGATGCAAAGTATTGTTTTTGGCCACATCTGTGAGGGTGTCGCCAAAGGAGATTAACATTTGAGTCAGCGGACTGGGAAAGGCAGACCCACCCTCAATCTGGGTGGGCACCATCTAATCAGCTGGCAGCGTGGCCAGAATAAAAGCAGGCAGAACGTGGAAGGAATAGACTGGCTGAGTCTCCCGGCCTACGTCTTTCTCCTGTGCTGGAGGCTTCCTGTCTTTGAACATCGGACTCCAAGTTCTCCAGCTTTGGGATCCTTGGGCCTTCGACTACAGACTGAAGGCTGCACTGTCGGCTTCCCTACTTTTGAGGTTTTGAGACTCAGACTGGTTTCTTTGCTCTTCAGCTTGAAGATGGCCTATTGTGAGACCTCACCTTGTGATCATATGAGTCAATACTCCTTAATAAACTCCCCTTTACATATACATCTATCCTGTTAGTTCTGTCCCTCTAGAGAACCCTAATACAAAGCTCCATGCGGGTTGGAGTTTGTCTGTTTAGTGCACTGGTATATCAGCGAACAGAGCTGGGAAAATCATGTGCACAGTCTGTATCTGTTGAATGCGTGAATGACTGAGTGAATGAATCAATGATCCTCAGGTCCAATCAGAATCCTATCCTGAGAGATCCTGTGGAGACTATGCGTTGGTCTCCTTCTGCCTCACAGGTTCCCAGCCAAGACCAGCCAGAGCAGGACGTCAGATGAGGCTGGTTTGGGGCCCTTGGCCGCCTTACCTGATGGGGTAGTCGGCCGCACTGAGGTTGATGAAGAAGTCCCAGGGCCAGTCGGTCATCTCCAGGAGGTCCCGCATGCTTTGCAGGTAGGTGGACAGGAGACTGGCTCCCCCCCAGATGGTGGCCATTCTCCAGGGGGTGACGCGGACGTTGCTGTACTGCCTGGAGACCTGGAGCACTTGCCGATGCAGGTAATTAGAGCGCTTTTCCCAGAAGAGAAAGGGTGATGACATTCAGTGGCCTAGAAAACACCCAGGCATGCCCCTCACCCCGTCCCCTCTCTGTCTCTTCCCTCCTGGTTGGGTACTTCTGAGGAGAGTGGCCTTTGCCAAGTAAATGATCCTGGACTGGGGTGTCTTTCTGTATTGCAATTCAAACTTGTATTATTTTTTACATTTCAAATTAGCTATTTGAAATGCAGATTCCCTGGCCCCACTTCTGAGCTAACGGTTCACTAGGCTTGGGCTGGTGGTGCCTGGGACTTCACATATTTTTAAATTTTATTTTATTGATTTATTTTTTGAGACAGAGTCTTGCTTTATTTATTTATTTATTTATTTATTTATTTATTTGGACAGAGTCTCGCTCCGTCACCTGGGCTGAAGCGAAATGGTGCCATCTCAGCTCACTGCAACCTACACCTCCTAAGTTTAAGCAATTCTTCTGCCTCAGCTTCCCGAGTAGCTGGGATTACAAGTATGCGCCACCACACCCAGCTAAGTTTTGTATTTTTAGTAGAGATGGGGCTTCACCATGTTGGAAAGGCTGGTCTGGAACTCCTGACCTTGGGTGATCCGTCCACCTCGGTCTCCCAAAGTGCCGGGATGACAGGCGTGAGCCACTGCACCCGGTCAACTTTGCATTCTTATACATGACAGCTGCATGGGGTCTGAGGAAGATAAGCTGGGAAATATGGCTCTATCTAAACCCAGGTATATTTCAGAGGCAGAATTTCTGTTTCCTGTCCCCCCTCCTACTCATTGCTCCTCCATTATCCTCTCACAGGTCTGCTAGAAGCCAACCTTTTGGACAAGACATCCCCCTTTGCCTTCTTGACTAAAGGCATAATTGTGTCACCAATAGAAACCTCAGGGACAAGGTAGCTCAGGATCAGCAGGGCTGATGCAGGTTTTTGTTAATAAAGTTTTACTGGTACACAGCCACACTCATTTGTTGACATGTTCTCCTTGGCTGCTTTAGCACAATGGCAGTGCAGAGTAGCTGTGACAGAGAGTATGTGCCCTATAATACCTAAAATATGTACTATCTTGCCTTCTATGGAAAAAGTGTACCCACTCCTGGGATAGGGATATGCTTTGGCTGTGTCCCCACCCAAGTCTAATCTTGAATTGTAGCTCCCATAATTCCCACGTGTTATGGGAGGGATCAGGTGGGAGATAATTGAATCAGGGGGGTGGTTTCCCCCATACTGTTCTCGTGGCAGTGAATAAGTCTCACGAGATCTGATGGTTTGATAAGGGGAAACGCCTTTTGCTAGGCTCTCATTTTTCTCTCTTGCTGCCGCCATCTAAGACATGCCTTTCGCCATGATTATGAGGCTTCCCCACCCACTTAGAACTGTGAGTCCATTAAACATCTTTCTTTATAAATTACTCAGTCTTGGGTATGTCTTTATTAGCAGCATGAAAATGGACTAATACAGGTAAGCTATTCCCACAAAGTATGTGGGATACATGCAGAGGGCAATGAGCAGAAGGGAGAGGTAAGAAACAGCATTTGTGGGCCGGGTACGGTGGCTCACACCTGTAATCCCACCACTTCGGGAGGCCAAGGCGGGCAGATCACGAGGTCAAGAGATCGAGATCATCCTGGTCAACATGGTGAAACCCTATGTCTACTAAAAATACAAAAATTAGCCAGGCATGGTGGCGTGTGTCTCAGCTACTTGGGAGGCCGAGGCAGGAGAATCGCTTGAACCTGGGAGGCAGAGGTGGCGGTGAGTGGAGATCACACCACTGCACTCCAGCCTGGCGACAGACCGAGATTCTGTCTCAAAATAATTAAATAAATAAATAATAAAACCCCAAAAACAGCATTTATGGACAAAACTGTAAGTCACAGCTGGGCACTTTGAAACCAACACACACACAGAGACAGCGCTCTAGGGCCACATGCTCTGTGGAGAGGCAGCTGGTCAGCTTCCAAGCCTTTTCTGAAAGCAGGCAGCCCGGACTAGCGATGCGGAAGAAGGGTATCAGAGAGGGACCGACAGACCCTGAAGGAAGCCCAGCAAGCAGCGATCACAGGGGCCTCTCACCTTGTCCACGTGGATGTAGTAGAAGTGGTCTTTGTGGTAGATGGCCTTGAACATGCGCTGCAACTGCCGAGAGGCGCGGCCGTGGACCACCAGGACAAAGGCGATTCTGACTGGGTTGGCCGGCATGTACTCTACAGAGTCCTCATCCCACTGCACGTTCTTGTTGGCTTTACCTAGGGAAAATCCAAGAGACCAGAGAGGAGGAAGTGAGGCTTTGTTATCCTTTGCAGGGGCAGGAAGTTTCTCTGGTGCTTCTTTTGGGGCCTATTTTAGGGGCACGGTCATCAAATTGAACCCTAAAACATAATTCAGTGCCACTAAGCACATCTTAGATTCTCACACTGTCAGGCACAAAAGGGGTTAGGGGACCCTGGGGTTGTTACAACACAGTTTCCATCCTGAGGAGCTTAAAAAGGCTGGAAGTGACACATGGACACATATTTAGCTACTGAACAAGGCAGGAGGAGGTGAGAGCTATGAGATGTATCTCTGAATCACAGAGGAAGAAGCAGTTAATTTTGAGTTAGTGAATGTAAGATACATGTGTTGTTTCTGCCTGTCCAGAATTCATTCTCCCTTCTTCTAACAGCATCCAATATATTGTTTGTTTTAATGGTGGTAAGAACAGATACCATGAAATCTACCCTCTTAACAAATGTTTAAGTGTACACTACAGTACTGCTGCCTATTAGTACAATGTTGTACAGCAGGATCTTTCAATTTACTCATCTTGCATAACTGAAGCTTCATCATCCAATACCTTTTGCGGCATCATCATCCTCTCCTCTATTCTCAGTCCATATGGGTGGGGAAGACCTAACTCCATCATCTATTTCCGGGGTGGACCTATAGCTTAGGCTTGGCCAATGGGAATGCTGACTCTCCATAGCCACAGTATTATTTAGAGAAGAACATATGTCTCAACTAAGTTAATTAACTAATAAGACAGAATGCTAGACGTTTGTTAGACCTACTACATAAGAGAGGTTGTCTCTCTTTTTTTTTTTTGAGACAGAGTCTTGCTCTGTTACCCAGGCTGCAGTGCAGTGGTGCAATCTCGGCTCATTGCAACCTCCACCTCTCAGGTTCAAGCGATTTTCCTGCCTGAGCCTCCTGAGTAGCTGGGATGACAGGCACGCAACACCATGCCTGGCTATTTTTTGTATTTTTAGTAGAGATGGGGTTTCATCATGTTGGTCAGGCTGGTCTTGAACTCCTGACCTCAGGTGATCTGCTCACCTTGGCCTCCCAAAGTGCTGGGATTACAGACGTGAGCCACTGTGCCCGGTGAGAGGTTCTTTTTCTGTTACACAGGAGGCTAGAAGATTCTACGAGCCTTTCTGTTCCCATATGGAGACAGGTTGCCTGAGAAGAAAACTAACGTGGAGTATGTGGCCAAGTGGGGATGAAGGTCCAGGTGCTTGTGGCCTGCCTTAAGCTCTTGCAATAGTAAGCCTACAGATCACCCACTGTCATCCATCATGTTCTTTTAAATCCAATCCTGTACCACATCCACTTGGATAAATAGTCCCAGACATCTTTTATTTCGAAAATTAGCCCTAAAGACTCCTCTCTTTCTTTCCCTTGCTTCAGATAAAAAGAACTTTCTAGTTGAGTTTATTAAAATCTCAACTAGAAATCTACTAGCTTTCCTCAGCCTGATTTCGCTTGGGTCCAACCCAATTTCTTACGAGTTCTGGGTTTATGGGACTCAGGACATTGTTAGGGTAGTAGCTGCAAGTGTCCCAGCACCTAAACCCGGAGAACTGAGATGGAGACTGCGGGGCTGGGGGATTAGGACATCGGGAGTCTAAGCTGTCATCAGAAGGCGGAATAGTTGCTGAATGAACGAGGCTCTTTCTACGTAGTGCCAGGAGACAGGACGAGATTGACGTAATGTCCAAATCACACTACACAGCCTCTACGGCTGGTGTGATCTAACTACTCAGATCTCTCTGCCCTTGATTGGTGGGTCTCACATTCCATCTTGTCCCCTGGCCTTCTTTCTCTTCCTCGAACAAGCTCATTTCTGCCTTAGGACCTTCTCCCCGGCTTCCTGTGACCTGGAACACCCTCTCCCCAGATCTCTGCATGACTGCATCTTCATTAGTTCACAGTCCAAAAAAGGGACTCACCACCACCTCTTTTATTCTTTCACCTCACCTGATTTCAACTTTCTCCATAGCATGTAACACTGTCTGCAATTGTTTATCTGTTTACTTGCTTATTATCTGAACACACCACTAGAACATTAGCTCCAAGAGATGAGCGGCTATTTTGGCCTTGTTTACCACAGAATCTGCAACACTTAAACAGTATCTGACACACATCTGGTTCTGGGTGAAACAAAAGTTACAGGAAGGCACATTTCAGATCAGTAAAATAACAATACCTTTTATTGAACATTGACCAGCCCTTGACATTCATTAGATAATTTAATCCTTGTAATGATCTTACAAAGTAATGCTATTATCCCTGCTTTCCAAATGAGGAAACCACAGCTTAGAAGAGGCCAAGGGATTGGCTCAAGGTCACACTGCTTTAATTAGTTAAGCTGAGATTCAAACACAGGTCTGATTCCAAAGATCATGCCCTGAACCACTAATATACACCACATTATCATACCTAGAGAGTTTGGAAGGAAAAGTTTCTAACAATTGCTTTTAGTTGCTTGTTGCTAACCAAATACTTCGTAAGTTAGTTATTGCAGGCAGGTAGACATGTACTTAAGGACTAACAGGTATTCCAGTATTTCTGTATTAGATGAGATGCTGATTCTAGGTGATTAATAAGGCTGTATCTTTTCATCCATCCATCATTCCACCCATCTACCCATTCATTCATCCATTTATTCATCGATCGAAATCCAACCACTCATCCATTCACCCACCATTCCACCCATTCATCCAAATCCAACCACTTATCTGTCCATCCATCTATCCACCCATTCATCCATCCCTCCACCCATCCACTCATTCATTCATCCATTTTTTCATCCATCCAAATCTAACCACTCATCCATCCATCCACCATTCCACCCATTCATCCATTTATTCATCCATCCAAATCCAACCACTTATCTGTCCATCTATCCACCCATTCATCCATCCCTCCACCCATCCACCTATTCATCCATTTTTTCATCCATCCAAATCCAACCACTCATCCATTCATCATTACTTCATCATCAAATCCAACCACTTATCTGTCCATTCATCCATTTATTCATCCATCCAAATCCAACCACTTATCTGTCCATCCATCCCTCTACCCATCCACCCATTCATTTATGCATTTATTCATCCATCCAAATCCAACCATTCATCCTTTGCTCCACCCATCCATCCATTCATCCATCCATCATAATCTAGCTACTCATCTGTCCACTCATCCATATCTAACCATTCATCTATCCAAGCATACAGCAAACCCTCCAACTATGCAACCAGCAAAGCCTGCGAGAGCTTATCATCCCAAACACCATCCATCCACTTAAGGTGTATGGGGCCTCTGAGATTAACCCTTGCTTTTCCCTGTAGCCATGAACATCTTTTGCCATAGTTTTTGAATGAGCAAATTAATGAATGTGTTCTGAAGAAGAGTGGCTGCTCTGATCCAGAGGAGCTGGTGTTTCTTAAGTGACTCCTATGCATTCACTGTTATTTGACCCTGTGAAGAATGTGTTATCATCCTCTGAGGCTCAGAGAGGTCAGTATGTTTCCCAGGTCACACAGTGAGTGAGGACAGAGGTGAGAGGGGAAGCTGAGTGTTGCAGAGTCCAAAGCCAGCCCTGATACTTCCACTTGCTCTCTGCAGAAGTGGAGATTTGGGATATAGAGGATAGGTGTAAGGACTCTATGCTGGTCTTTAAAAAGGGCTTGGATGTTGATGCTGAGGACTTTTGCAACTTCTCTTTAGGGTTCTAAAAGGCAGAATTGATTTACAGACAGACAGACACAGACATGGATGCTTTTCTTTTGGAGAAAGGGAGGAGTCCTGTGAAATCAAAGACAAATCACTCCAGCAAGAGAGCTCCATTGGCTCAAATATAAAGTCATCTTTGGGTCAGACAGTTAGTCTGGGGAGCTGCAAAGAGAACGGGGAACAAAAAATCCAGAGCTCTTCTGAGTACAGCTATTCTGGGGAAGGGGTGGGTGGGAAGGAACAAAAATACCTAAAGAAAGGAGACATGCAGAGAAGGAGAAATGGAGATGGGGATGGGGGGCAGACGGGGAAGAGAGCGAGTCAGGAGAAAGATCAACTATTTATTGAGTGCCTACTATGTGTTAAGCAATTTCTGTGCATGATTTTATTCACTTCTATCAAAACTGCTATGAAAACAGAGTTATTATCTTTCTACTGTAGGCACGAGGAAGCTGAGGCTTGGAGAGGTCCCAGTTATAAAGTAGCTGAGCTGAGAATGGAGTGAGTCTGTGATCCCAGAGCCCTGTCATGGTCACCATGTTCAATCAAACTGTCCTCATTTCAAAAAGAAGAAAATCCGTCCCTAGAGGAAATGTGTCAGCTTTCAGCTGCAGGACAGATAACAATGACACATGGTCAGAGCTATGTGGGTCTTTATGAACATGGAACTCTTTGAAAGACCAAAACCCAAATAGTGTCCAGCTCGGGAAAAAAAAAAAAAAAAAAAGAATTTAACAATGTAATCAGATTCCCATGGCACAAAACAGAAAATAAGTGGAAAAATCAGAGTGATTAGAGGCAGCAGGAGAAGCTGACTTCAGATGAATGTTAACAAGCCAAGTTTATCAGGAGAGAATAGCAAGTATATTTTTGCAGTGCAGGTGTGAAGGGTGAGGATGGGGGTCCCGGAGAGCTCCCCCAGTAGATAGCTGTGCTGTGTTAGTTCTGTTACTCAAACTCCCTACTTCTTAGCAGCGTTGTGGGTCAAACAAGGACTATGTAATCCTTGGGCTCTAAAGACAGCAGAGATGAAGGTGCTTTGCAAGGGTCAAAATGCTGTTCCAATGTTGTGGTGCTGGCAAAGATCATATTAGTGGTGTCCTGCGATAATGATTTGGGAGCAGAAAGCAAAGTGCAGGGGTTTAGAACATGACCTGTGGTCAGGCAGATGTGGATGACCTTGGACTTGCTATGTAATCTCTCCAAACCTTAGTATTCTCATCTGTAAAATGGGTATGTATAATCACAG